CGAGTAGTGCGAGTTACTCGGCTTTTGTCTTAAATAAATAGTATGGAGTCGGTGTTGAGTCGTGAGCTTCAAGCTTTCGGATTTCCAGCCAAAGGCTTATATAATTGGTTAGGGCTTAGGGTAGTCAGGGTCAACGATTCGTGCTGGGCTCCTTGATGGTTTGCGGGCTTGGGAAGGCTTGCTAGTGCAGGGGCTCAAAACTCCGAAGGATTTATTGCTCTGTAGGGCCAGACAGTGCAGCCCTCCATCCGCTTGATTCTAGATGTCAGAGATCCGTTAAGCCCTTTAAGTTTTATGCATGTCGCCGTGCCATGGCGAACCTCTGGGTACATCAGCATCTGAATCTAATGATCTCGACGACTCGGAAGCTTGGTTGACGGAGCTGCTGGCTTACGGCAGAGAGAGACAACGACGGAGACCCTCGCAGTCTGCATCAGAATAATCATGTGTGTGTGTGTGTGTGCATATATGTGGGTATCCCTTCAGGGAAGGGTTTAGGGCCTAAAGTTTAGGGTTTAGGGCTTAGGGGCTAATTGCATCTAAGAATTGGTGGCACCACCAGACCATCTCGAAGTCCCGCTCGTTCCCATTGCCGCACGTCCTCCGGGTGCTGTTTGGGAGATGAATGGTTCAGTCGTTCGTTGTGTTTCCGATAATTACTGGAAGCTTCGAGTGCCAAAACACCTGGCTGAGCTACCTCGCTTGAAGGGCTTGATCCAAGATATTATGGCCGAGCCTTGTTTGAAGCTTGACCTGTTGCCTTCGCAATCACTAGCGAGCAAAATACTTGAACGTGCGAACCTCGTGATCCGGGGCCTGGCTTCCAGCTCCTACTTTAAGATCGGCTTGACAAGCAATCCTGTTCATAGATGGAGCAACGATGGCTATGGCTACTTGCACAGCTCCAACCCTTCCTGGAATGAAATGAGAATTGTTGGTATTCTTGCCTCTGGAGAAGCTGCTGGGTTTCTAGAAGCAGCCCTGATTGACCGATGGCAACGGGACAATCGCTGCACAAATTCTGCTAGTGGCGGCGAAGGCATTTCGACTCAGGAAGGTCCGTTCTGTGTGTACGTGGTAGTGTCCACAAGATGATGCTGCCTGTGTTATAGCTGCAACCCGTGGCCTGTCCCACGCTGCAAAAAAAGGACGGCCTCGAAACTAAGCCTTCTTAAAACCAAGCTCTAATGATTCTGATGCCCAATTCTAAAGCTTAAAATGCTCAACACCCTCAATATCCCACTAAATTTCAAAGCCTAGATCCCGAACGACCTGAAGCCCGACCCTCGAACCCCAAACAAAACCTCACCCTAAACCTAAAACCGTGATCGGAAGCAAGATTCTTTTTTTGCACAATCCTCTCAGGCTACCTTTCTCCGACTCCCGGTCCTCCTCGGCGACGAGCAGCCGAGACAGCGAAGCAGGAGGAAGCCTCGCCGAAGACTCCGAAGCAGACCCTCCTTAAGTTGAAACCAATGGACCCCGACGAAGGCGACGACAAGGACGACCAGGCCGACAAGCCCAAGCCCAAGAGAGCCAAGAAATCCAGCGACGCCCAGAAGAAGGAGAACGCCGACGCCGAGAAAAAGAAGAAGGAGAAGAACCCCAACGACACCGACGCCGAGAAGAAGGAGAAGAAGCCCGACGATGCCGACGCCGAGAAGAAGGAGAAGAAGCCCGACGATGCCGTCGCCGAGAAGAAGGAGAAGAAGCCCGACGATGCCGAGAAGAAGAAGGAGAAGAAGCCCGACGACGCCGACGCCGAGAAGAAGGAGAAGAAGCACCACGACGCCGACGAGAAGAAGGAGAAGAAGCCCGACGATTGCCACAAGAAGAAGGAGAAGAAGCCCGACGACGCCGACGCCGAGCATGACGAGAAGATGCCCGACGATGCCGACAAGTCCAAGGAGGCTGCTGGCGATATCAAATGGAATCCGGAGCTGGGGAAGGCCTGCTGGCAAAAAAAAGAAGGGGTTATCATTTCATCCGTTCCTTTCGTCGACAAGGATGATGAGGTTAAGGTCTCGTTCGGTGGCTTGTTATGGAGTGTTCCTCATCTCGTACCCAGTGATCTCGATTCCTCTATGCCACCAAAGAATCCCATGCAAACCCAAACCAAAGTGAAGGCCGTGCCGAAAGCCAAACAACTGAAACCCGTGGACGATTATATCTACCCGATCATCCGCTGCAAGTACTGCACACAAGGCTCCAAGAACCCCTTGATCAAGATCGAGGTACGAGAAGATCGCCACAATCTGCGGTCCAAGTGGGTGCAGAAGCTGCAGCTGGTTGTGAAGGACAACCTCAGTGTCCAAAAGGCAATGCACATTGCCAAGAGCTTCGCCGATTCCTACGTGTACATGAACCTCAATCCCGGTCAGTTAAACTTCAGGGGCTGTAGGGAGTCTCTGCTGGCTCACGAGCACGACTGGGAAACATCGGCTTTGGATTGGCAAACCATCAACAAGCTTGGCCTCAAGCACTTCCCGAACTCGCAATTCAGCTATGGTTTGTGTAAGCCTTTCCTAGTTCAAAGAAGCTTATTATTGGCTACCCACATGATCCCTGCATGTAACATACATGCTTCCTATATATACATGCAAACCATCTCATACTTCATGCATTCTCGTAGACGCATGGTCGTACGCACGCAGACACACTCACACACACACACACACACTCATTCCGTCATCATGCATACATATATACATACATACATATATACGTACATACTTATAGATGCATCTATACTAATCTATACATACACACATACATACATACATACATACACACATACATGCATGCATACATACATACATAGATGCATACCTACATACCCGATCCCAGGCCGCACGATTCCCCTATCAAGATGCAGAGGGTGGCGAAGACCCAGATCGCGAACGATGAGGAGAAGGCGGTGGAGGGAGATGATGCTGATGATGGTAATGACAATGAAGAAGCTGACGAAGAAGAAGAGAACACAGATGACCCTACAGTAGATCCGGGGGAGCTTCACGAAGGCTCCTAGACTGATTCTTTCCGGTGCTTCAATTAAATACTATGGACTTCAGATATCTAACTATACAAAACCCCAAAGCAAAACACAAAACCCTAAACCCGCAAATCAGATTCCCTAAGCCGGAATTACATATTCTGGCCTTTGATACCTACAAACCCCTAAACCCATACCCCAAACCCTAAATCCCAAAATCACAAAAGCTTAAACTTCTCCCTGTACCCTGAATCGCTCAGGCTTCGCACGCCTTGGTTCGGCGGCCTCTGAGTTGTTGGAAAACGAGGACTAGCCCAGACGCTTAAACTACCCTTTAGCATACACCACAAGCCAATCCCGATGCCCTGAAACTTTGTCCCATGCAGCGAGACTCCGAAGAGCCTGTGCATCAATCAGTTTGCCACCACAGACCATAGAATCTTAAGGCTTAAGGTTGAAGTATGGTAGGGTAGGGTCATTCAGGTTCTAGGAGTCTAGGTCCAGATTCTTGGTGTTTATGCAGCTACGGTATGTGCCCTTATTACGCTAGCCTCTCGATCTTATCTTACTTGGGTATCAGCCATACATAATAGTCTGGGTGGCCGTGCAGGCTTGGATGAAGCATCGTGCGATTTTCCTTAGTTGCAGCAGCTGAGCACGGAGCTACTTCCCCACGAACACCTATATATACGGTCCCCACGAACACCTATATATACGGTCCTTTGCTTATGTTCAATGCACTAACCTTAAAAGCCTGGCCCCATCGTCTCCGTCGATATAAGCAGCTGCCCTTTTGCCGACACTTTATGCAGGAAGAAATTTCTGCTTGATCTGTAAGATGAGCTCCAAGGCTTCTGGGATGACTGTGTGCACGTTGCTCAGATGTTTTAACTTAACGATTGGAGTGGTGCCGCTGAGTGTACTATTGTGTAACACACACCATTCAATTTTATCGGTATGTCATCGTGGTTCTTTGAAAAATAGCCCACCGCCCG